TTACCCCTTGACCAATGAAAGGTGATCTAGTTATTTTACCTTAAATACAAGATTCACATGTTGGAGTTGGTATATTACGAGGTGGATTTGGTATATTACGAAGTGGATTCAAAATCCTCATTTTCTCTAGCTTAGTGATTCTATCTTCTATAATATAACCTAATCTTAAGTGCCAAAGATGTTTTTTACTATAATCATTCATTGTCATAAAGTCACATACATTTAGAGTTGTTTTGTTATTATTATTGGCCAAATAATAAAGACCATCAAGCATAGTTTACCAATAATATTATTATTATAATATATTAAACAAATATGACACTTAAAGAGGAATTCATAACCCATCTTAGTCATACTAGATATAAAGAAAATATTTCTAAAAGCATTAGGCAATGCTTGTTCCATCTCCAAGCTTTAGGGTCACCTCATCCTTCTTCAAGATCTAATTATTTGCTAGTTCCTACATAGAGGCATAAATATGAGAACTTGCACCCGTATAAAGAATCCAAACATTTGATGAATACTTAAGCTGATATAACTTAAATAACATGATAAAGACATACTTTCGAAGTCTTGTCCTTTCCTTTACACTTTAAGGACTCCAAGTACTTTAGGCGGTTACACTTTCAATATCCAACTTATTGATAATGGAAACAGTTTTTTGTCCTCATCCACCTTTTTATTGGCCTTGGCCTTTGACACACCATCTTTAGGCTTAAAGTTTGAAGTCTTTCCTTCGCCTTTCTTCTTTTTGGTCTTACTAAAAAAGAAGCAAGCTGCAACAACCTCTTTCCCTTTTATCATAGATTTTTTAGCTATACAAGGATGTTTAACAACTCTAAAAGATGCATTCCACTTTGTTCATGTGAAAGTTCAAAATGAATTGAGAGAAAGAATCTAGAAGGGACTCGAAGGATCAAATCCATTTGGAGGTTGAAGTTCATAAACCTTCTAGTTCCTTAATAACACTTATCATCTTATGGATATGAGCTCCAACACCAGTACCCTCATGCATCTTAATATGGAATAGGCTGCTTTGATATCTCATATCTTGGAGTTTTGTTATGCTCACCATAAAACTCTTGCAAGTGAAGAACAATAGAATAGAAATCATTCATCTTTTCAAGTTACCTCTATAACTCATTGGTCTTAAAAGCAAGCATGGAACATTTTGCTTACATGCCATGAAGCTTCCACTTCTCAAGTGTAGCCCATTCCTCATCAAAGGCCCTTTTAGGTAAAGGGTCAAAAATTGATATATCAACCACATACAATATAAACTCTAAATCTAAGACTATTTTAAGGTTTCTCAAGTAGTCCAGAAGTTAGGCCTTGTGAGCCTATTAGCATCAAGTATCCTCGTAAATGGGTTGGTAGGTATCATTTTCGAGAGATAATCTATATAGAGTAATAAGATTAATTAGTTTATGTGATAAGTAATTACCATAATGATTTGTTCTTTAATCAAATATAGTCCTCTCACTAATTTGGTAAATTCTACACTTTCAAGTAGAAAATAGAAGTTACGTTAATGAACTTCTAGTAAGTGACTAACATTCTCATAAAACTATTAACATCCCTACGTTCAAAATTCCATTCTAGGAACAATAATGTCTTATGAGTGAACAAATTTTGTTCATCACATCTCATGTGAGGTTTAATCTATCTAGAATGCTACGGACCTTAGGTTCATATTGCGGTTCTTGGCCTTTCACGCTAGTTAAGCCTATTAACCATTGAACCACTAAACATATGGATTTGAACATTAAAAACCTCAAGTTCACATTTTTGTCCTTAGTAAATAATGTATCCATATGTCAAAAATATCTCATGCTTAACAATAATAACTAGAAGATGTCTTAATGTTTAAAACTTCTAAAATTATCCATTTTATCATAAACATCTCATACATATCACGTACATCACATTTATGCATAGATAATGTAAAAGGCATGGTCATGAATTATCTATGCACCTAAATCCTAGCCACAAGGAATAGGGTGGGGCTTAGGGTTAATATCTTTTGAACATGCTCTTCAACTCATGAACTTCATGCTTCAACTAGGCATTACGATGGGTTGATCTTCCTTTGATCGTCGTTTTCATATCTTCATAAGTACATAAATATCAATGGCATACCAAGGAGATAACAAACAAAAGAGCTCAAAAGACCCAATAGAGAATATTTCAACACCCTAAAATTAGTTATTACATTCCCACTTAAAAAAAATCACACATTGGTTTTCTAAGTCCATGATCATCCATCGTGACTTTCATTCATTCAAAACAATATATATATATATATATATATATATATATATATATATATATATATATATATATATATATATATATATATATATATATATATATATATATATATATATATATAACTCATGCAAACAAATTACAATTTATGTTGACCATGAAACAATTCCATAAACCACTTTAATATCACATATTCAAGTAATCTTTGATTAAATATAGTTGTTCTAATTATGGAAAAATTGAAATAAGCATTCATGAATATCATATATTCTAGTAAGATCAAAAACCAGTTTTGATTTATAATTAAAAGTTGAAAAAAAATTTTAAAACAATCAAAATTATTGAGATAAAAGTTATCCAAAATCACTACTGCCTAGGTTGTGACTTTGAACTAGTATATCTCCCACTAGAAAATCATTTTTAAGTGATTCTAATGTTTCTAGAAAGATATGGAAGTCTAGTTTCATTCACAAAACATTTTACCAAATTTTGATCTTTCGTTTAAGAGTTATGATATTTTTACCATAGATTGCTAGAATCCAATCTAACCGGAAAAACAACATGCATGTGTTTGATCCTATTAAACAATAATCAATCTATCCATATTCCATAACAAAAATCACAACCTCAAATAATACAAACATGGATTCTAAATATCATTTAGGTGGATACCACTTTAAAGAAATAGACAAGGGACGCAACGAGAGTGTGAGGAATTTCAAAAATTCCAAAATAAGACAATTTGTGTGACTAATAGCAGAGTAATTCGGGGTTGGGATATGTCAAAGGCCTATACCAATACTCTAAAAAAGAAAAATGGATAGGAATTAGAATTTTAGCTAAACGCCTAGTGACTACGAACTTGTATTGGTAAAAAGTGAGTCTTTTGGATTACGAGCCCATATTAATATAATTAAAAAACTACATATGACTTCATCTATAAATAAAAAGTCACTTAAAATTTTTTATTCACATAAGTAAAAAGATGGGGGGCATCCATTTTATTTTCCATCATCTTCTTCCTCTCATTCAACTACAATAACATTATCTTCAACCTCTATTAAAACCCTCACCTAAAACACCCCTCAACTACAACTCTAATCAAGCTTCTACCCTAAACCACCATCATCTCCAAACAAATACCCATTGCAAAACTCCTATTCAATCTTCTTCTCTATTCAATCAAACATAACAAAACCAAAAAACCCATCCATTCCACTTTCAATCTCCAATCAAAACCTCAAACCCTAAAATAGTCACAATTGATGCTTGAATAAAAAATATTGAGCCTCTTGTAACTCAAGTCTATAACAAGGTTGCTCCGTCAAAATAAAAGTGGCAAGTTTCTTATCACTCAAACCCATAAAAAAAATCATTGAAATAAAAATATGAGCCCCTAGTAATTGCGACCCATAATAGAGATGTTCGTTAGAATAAAACGACGAGTCTTCTATGACTCAAGCCCATAAGAAATCATTAAAATAAAAATGGTGAGTTCTTTACGACTACAACCTATGATAAAAATCATTTAACAAAATAAAAGTGGTAATTTTTTTTATGAAAAGCTCATAACAAAAATCATTTGACATAATAAAATTTAGAAGCCATAAGTAGCTTTGACTATATAAGTGGAAAGCCATTATTGACTTCATCTTGGGGAAAAGAACAATTAGATAATCATATATTAGAGTAGAGAAATTGAGTAAAAAGATTTAGAGGTGATATGTAGTTTTGACAATATAGGTGAAAAGCCAATATCGACTTCATTTCAAATGAGTAAAAAACGAGATAAAATAACTCGAAACTATTGACAACTTCGTCCACATAGCTAGAAAGTCATCGAAAACTTTATTTCAATCTAGTAGGAAGTTAGGTTATCATGCATTGGACATGAATAACAAGTTTTTGAAATATCAAAATCTAGATTTTAATCAATCACATCATTCAATCATAATTACAATCAAAGTAATCTTATATTCCAAAATAAAGCAATTTAGTCAATAATATCCAATGGGCACAAATGTTTGAATGTTATCCAAAACAGGTCAAAAGGTGTTAAAACTATCAAAAACTCCATTTGTGGTTAGTTATACTCTCTTCCTCCAAGATGAAAACTAATTGTTTAGTTGGTCGAGAGAGGAGGGTAGTTGTCCGTTGCCAAGATTATTAATGTATGTCCTAATAGGGTTGCTACCACTTTTGTAGCTATTAGGATGAGTTGCTAGTGAGGTAGTGGCCTGCTAAGGGGTGCACCCTAGGGCTGAAAGGCTTACCAATAAATAGAAACATTATAAAGAATACGAGTTTAAAAAATCATGTTGTTCTTGCCAAACTCAAAAATTAACCAATAATCTAGAAACAATTTTAGCTTTTGTTCTTCATTCTATTATATTTGAAACCCATTAGTGTTAACCAAAATAGTTTAGGATTTTCTACTAGTCTATTCTACTTGCATTCGGGATAAAAACAATTTGGGATAGATTTGGCTTAGGAAAGGAAAAAGCTTGGACCTTTTTTTGGGTGAGGTCTTGGCTAATTTTAGGAAGCTTCAGCTCTGTTTCTATCCTATTTTCTCTTAAAAAGAAAGTGGTTGTTTAAGCTTGAGAAAGTTTATTTTTGTATCGATTTTGGATGCTTTGATGATTGAATAGATTTTTGGTGCTTGGGTCATGTTTAGTAAGATTGGGCTAGTGAGGATAAGGTTTTAAAGTCTGATTTGATTTGAATTTAAGGGAATAAGGGTTTCGAGTTAGTGTTTGAGAGGTTTCAAGAGTTTGCAATGGGGAAAATGAAGGTAATTATCAAGGTTGACAATGGGTTGTTGATAAAAATGGCTCGATTTTTATGGATCTATAACGATGATGATGGTGGCTCGATAATGGTTGTGGCTAGTGGTTCCTATGTTGGTATTTTGGAAAAGAAGGTTCAATATAGAATGCTAATAGGTTAATGGTAGGTCTATTTTTGGTTATGGGTTAGGAAAATTTCAAGCTATAATGGTATATGGGTTCATTTAGATTTCAAGTTGTCATAGAAAGGAGGGTCTATTGTTGATTCGGGTATAGATGGTGGCTTTTATAGGGTTTGAGGTTTTGGTTGGAGGTTGAAGGTTGAATGAGTGGGTTTTTTAGGTTCCGTGATGTTCAACTAAATGAAGAAGAAGGTGGAATCGATGTTGGCAATTGTTGTTTATTCGAAGATGGGATGGTTCGAGTGGAAGCTTGACTAGAGTTAAGGCTAGAGGGGTTTCAAGTGACGGCTTGAGTGGAAGTTGAATATAATATTGTTACAATCAAATGAAAGGAAGAAGATGATGGAAAATAAAAAGGCTTTCCCTCACTCTTTTTGTTAACAGTTTATATTGGTATGTATACGAGGAAATTAAGGTTTGGAAAATATTAACTTTAGTCCTTACTTCCTCTATTTTTTTAATTTCAATGTAGATCTTTCTAATTTTTTAAATTGCACCCCTAATTGGAGTTAATCAAGCCTTTTTCATCTAATTTTCTACAATTGCACCATTTGTTTCTTTTAATTAGGGATTTTTGAACTGCACTTGTCAATTAGGTGTTTTTTTTTCTTTTTTTAGTTCCTAAACTTGTTCTTCCTTTTAATTGGATCCCTAGGACTAATTTTAGCCACTTATTTTAATTGCAATCTTCTATCTTTTACTTTTTTAATTTTTTTTTTTTTTTTTGCCAAGAATTAAAAGAAAATAATACGGGGTAAAAAGACTAGGTAATAACATTTTTAACTAATTAAGCCCTATCTTTCAAAAGTCATCATCACTTTGGAATATATTTTTTCATGTTTAGGTTTTTTTAGGGGTTTAAGTTGTTATGTTTGAAGTGGATTTTGGTTTGGGAAGAGTGGTGGTGAGTTTCTGTTTGGTGACTATGATGGGGCTTAGTGTGGTGGCATTTTGCATTTATAAGATATGGTTTTCGAGGCTAAAGGTGTTTGTTGGTGGTTTGGGACTATGGAGAGTGGGGTTTCAAATCTAGAGAAAGTGAGTTTTTAACGGTGTTATAATGGAGAGTCGTTATTAGAGGTTTATGTTGTGGTTTAGAGCTATTTGTGAGTGGTTCGATAAAGGGGAAGATAGTTTTGGGTTTGGTACTGTGTAGTAGGGTGAGCATGGTATTTTGGGTTGAAGAGAGTGGCAACAAGGTTAGGTTATGGTTTTCGAGCTATAGAGAATGGCAACTAGATTATGGGATAAATAGTAGGTGATTAGCATATTATAATGGCAAGGGTAGTGATCGATAGATTGTAGCAATAAGGTGGTCGGGCGAGTAAGAGTTGTAGCAGTAAGGATTTGTGTGAGGAAAATGATGGTGGCTACTAGGGAGAAAAAGAAAAAGGAATGGTTTTATAGTGGGTTTTTTAAGATTGTGGGTGAAAATTTGATTTATCCTCCATTTCTCTTTCTTTTCCAATTTTGGCTTATATCTCTTCATTTTCTCTCCAATCACACCCTCAATTGAAGTTTTTTAATCTTTTTTCTTTTAATTTCTCTCAATTTATTCTCAATTAAAGTTCTTTTTTTTATTCCTTTCAATTGGATTTCCTTTTGTCCTCACTTCTCACATTTTTTCAATTAGACTTGAATTCTATCTCGTTTATTCTTTTCTATTTTCTTTCTTTTTCTATTAATTTTCTCTAAACTCCCAAAATTATGGAATTCCTAAAAATCCTAACAAAAAAGGTTAAATTTTATAAAATCAAATGGATTTAAAAAATGTTCAATTTTTTTTATTTTGTTAGGAAAATTTTATAAAAATAAAAAGGGTAAAAAATTAAGTGATAATAGGATTGATGCCAACAAATTAGTTTAGTACAATAACATGTTTAGCCCTAGATATCGAGTCAAGACCTCTTACTTTGATGATAAGATTAACAAGCAACCATCCGAGACTTGGAGTATTATGACATATATAATTATATATGTATGTTGAATTTTAGGTATAGTTATCTGCTGATAGGGTTTGTAAGGGACATATTTTCTTATTACAACCGGTTTGTTTGCCATATCCATCCGAATGGGTGGGTCATGGTGGCAAAGTTACCTAATTTTGTAAAATTTATAAGACTCTGCCTACCTTTATGTTATTCAAGTTTTCTTACCTCTTGTTTAGGAGCAAAGGGTATGCAAGCGAGTTGGATTGATTCTTCACCTTTTTTTATTTAAAGGAATAGTCTTATGAAGGGGTTGATTGTCAAAAATTATAACCATATTAAAGAATATAGGGAAAAGTATTTCACTGTATGTTACACTAGTAATTTTTCCCTATACAAGCTAGTGAATGTGTGGGGGTGCGCTTATTTTTGAAAGATATCAACCAAAAACTATGATAATTTTCTCACTCGTAAATTAAGCGAGGAATAATTCTTTCAAGTTGTAAAGAAATTTGGAGGGATGTAATAGATCAACCTATTAGCAAAGAGTGGATTCAAAACCTAAATTCTTAATATAACTCGGATTTGCCTTCGATTTTATTTTTGTTTTATTACCCTTGTTTTACTTGTTTTATTTGCTATCTCTTTATTATGTTGTGTAAGGGCTAAAGGATGAGTTGGCATGTTAGAGCTCAAATAAAACTTGAAATAAAAGGTGTTCAACCCTTTACTAGGTGAGGATTCTCCTTCTACTTCATCGGAGAGTGAGACTAAAAGTAAGGATCAATCTAACTACTATAATGACATAAATTATTCAATCTAGACATTCGAGTTTTCAAATCTCAAAGAAATTAGAAAAGAGGTAGAAGCCATGTATTTGGGATTTTTTATCTTGCAATTAATGAAAAAGACCTAGGAACCCTTCCTCATTTCTACTCCACTAATTGGAGTTTCTTCTAGTTCCTTAAGAAAGGATCTAAATTTCTTCATTTCCTACCAAATTTAGGAAGGTTTCTCCCATAAGATGAAGAAATTTGATGCTCTATCGATTCAAAGGTCCTATTTTAATGCTCGAATAAAGAGGTCATTGCTCCTACCCCTCTAATGACTAGTTTTTTGCTTGCCATACCTAATTTTTTTATAAATGAGTAGGTGGAAATACAATACACCATGTTCAAGGATAACCCCACTTTATGGGATACTAAGAGGGCTATGGTGTTTGATTGGTGGGGTTTCTAACCCACTTCCTAGGAATTATAGGTTCGCGATCCAATACCTCATAAGCTAGTTAGATAAGGATGTCTATCCAATTTTCTTCTAATGTAAGTGCTTTATATGCAATTTTATTATTGTGCTACTTCTCGTTTTGTTTTATAATCCAATTCTTGTTTTTACATCCTCTAACTCTAGACCAATAATCTTTTGAGGTGAAAGGTAGAGAAAAGAAAGTAGGAGAATCTCTATGAGTTTACTCATAAAACTTGAAAGGATTTAGTCAAGTAATCAAATAAGTTAAAGTCCTCTTACACGAGTAAGAAGTCAAATTAAAAGAGTCAAAAACTTTACATAAGGCAACCTTCAAAGATAAAATCCAGTTATGGTGGTCGAATAGACTACCCTCCATACCCCGTAGAATTGACAAACGAGCCTTAAAAAAGGGAAAAAAAGGTTGATACCAAATTTATGAAGACAAATAATAGATTTTCAAATAATAAAACCTTAGAAAGGAAAAGTTATGTTAAACAATAAAATGAACCCTAGGTTTAATTGATTTGGCAAGATGAAAAACTCCGAGTACAACTTTAGCTTGATAATTAACAAAGATAACCCTAACTTTGATTCGTTTTGGTAAGATTTAAAACTCCATTATGACCTTAACTAATAACGATATCACCACCTTAAAAGATCAACTTAAGGATACAAAAACATGAGAACAATTATATTTAAGGTCATGTATTTATGATGTTTTGGCACTAAAATGGTTTATTATCTAAAGAATTAGGTCGGCTACCCTAAAGAGACCTACTCATTGGTTTTGAAAGAATGTGGTCATTTTCTTCTAGAGGAGTTCGGTCGTAGAGTCATAAAAGAATATGAGAATAGAGTGATATAGAGTGTGGTTTAAATATTCATATAGCCCTTAAGATCACATAAAAATGGATCAAGAGGTTTCTTTTTATGATGGGTCGAAATTATCCTCATCCCTTGTAAGTCGAATTTCACAAGGATAAGCAAACCTTATATGGCTAACTTATAGAGTAGTATAAATAAGGGTATAATACTTATAGAGAGACACATCTTCCTTGCTTTGAAAATTAATAAAATGCTAGAGAATTTTCTCTTAAATATCCCGAACCCTTGTGTTTAGGGTTTGTTGTTTACATCATTGATTTGATCAACCAAGGTGGATTCTTTGATCACAATCTAATTCAAAGACGTAAAAAGGTTATCAATCTTTCCAAAATCATATAAGGTTAAACTCTAATAATTTTAGCAATCAATATAACATGAATTTACTTGTTAGTTCTTTATTCTCAAAATTCTAGTTTAGAACATAATCCGAACGAACTTTGACTTATCAACAAAAGGGTCAAAACTCATCGAATTAATATAAAATATGGAATGCAGCTTCATCTATATCTTAATTACTTTCCATTATCATTTCAAGTCACTCTAAATTGATTTTCTTGGTGAACGTAATTAATCTTTATGATGGTTTGTATAAAATTTTGTTGTGTTGATTGTGGGACTTGCTTATTAGTTTCAATCTAAAGGGTTAGAACTTTCTTTTCATCCACCAATTCCTCTAAAAGATTTTGAATTCCTTAATTCTTTTAAGGGGTTCTAAATTCGATAGTCATAAATAAAATAGTTAGGAGCTTGGGCTTGTTCTAATTCTTTATAAAAATGATGTCAACTTGGTATCGGAGCGAAGGTTGCTTCCTTAAATGTTCTTAACCAATTTTTATGAAGATGCTACCCAAAAGATAGTAGTTAATGTGTGTTACTATGGTTGAATTGGAAGAGGAGAATGCACGATTTCTTAAGAAGGTGTAAGAGCTTGAAAGAAAGAGAGCCACGGATGAGTAAAATGAGGAAGACTAAAAAAAGGGTATTGCAAGTGCAAATCCTTTGAGGGCTTTGAGATATGACTCATCTATGGAGGATATACATTCTTTCTAACATCTAATATGTATGGTGAAGAGGCAAAAATCTCAATTTCAAGACTTTAGAATCAAAGTCAATATACCTAACCTTAAATGAAAACTCAATCTCAACGATTTCATTAACTAGATGCACTATTAAAAGGGTTTTTGAATTAAAAAAGGTTCTTAAGGATAAAAACTATGATAAAAAGGTTAAAACTTATTGCTATTAAGCTTACAAAGAATGTCTTTATGTGTTGATAGGGTAGAATCACGAGAGTATAAGAGAAATAACTATTGTCAATAACATAAAGCTAGACGTATATGTTACTTTGTTAACTTGTGACGGACAAAAGGAAACATCTTCTAATTTTAAAAAGCCAAATGTGTGTGATTCCTTAACTTGCATAAGTTTGTTATAGTAAGCGGAACAAAAACCTATCTCATTCATCCTAACTTATTAGAAGTTATGCAAATTCTAGCAACATATTAAAGAAATTAATAGTACAACCAATTCCATCTACCAAAAGGTTGTGCATGGGTCTTCAAAGAATTGCAAAAAAAGCCCGAGTAGCCAACATTCAATATATTTCTAAAATCTTCTACTACTTGGAATTCAAATAAGGATGTTGAAAGATTGCAAGAAAAAATACAAACTAAAAAAAATTTTAAGGTTATTTACGGAGTTGGGTTGCTCATGTCTTATGGACAATATTCTAGTTCCCGTGGCTTGAAGTCTAAAATAAGGACTCGTCATGTTGGATAGGATGAGGCATGACACAAAAATTGGTGTTAATAAGCATGCGAGATGAGGATGTCTAGAGTGTCAATAGGAAAGGTTCTAAGGTTCCAATTGAAAGTGTTAGTGGTGGTTCAAGTGCGGCCAACATAAACTTAGAAGTTGGGCTAACATGTTTGGGTTAGGCAATCGGATTAAGTTTCCATTTGATTATGGAAAATAAGGTTTCAAAACTTGAGGTTGATTTTTCTTCAATTCGGGGTGCTTAACATGGAGATGGTTCAAGATATTCATATAGGCCTTTAGATCACACACAAATAAATCAATAGGTGTTTTTTTATGATGGGGCAAAATTTATGCCTTATCGGGATATGATTATTATGTGATTATGCTTTTTCAAGGTTTGAATGTAATATGGAGTCAAGTAGATTAGGAGTTCTTTATTCAAATTAGATAAAGATAGAATCGAGAGAGTCATAAAAAAATAAAAAAAATAAAAGGAGACTAGAGTTTTGCGATTCATGTTGGACATGTTTTTCTTTGGTCTTATCCTTATCTCTTGTACACTAAATTTCACAAAGACATGTAAACCATGTGTGGTTGACCTATAGAGTAGTATAAATAAGTATTTAATGCTTCTACGGAGATGCATCTTCCTTGCTTTAAGAATTAATAAAATACTAGAGAAGTTTCTCTCAAATCTCTTAAACCCTTGTGTTTATGGTTTGTTTTTCACATCCTTCACTTGATCAACCAAGATGGGTGTCTTTTTTTATCACAATCTAATTCAACGATTATCAATCTCGTTAAAATCATTTAGGGTTAAACTCTAACAAGTTTGACAATCAACATAACTTGAGTTTACTTATTAGTTTCTTCATTATCGAAATTTTGGTTTAGGGCAAAATCTAAACAAAACTTCGACTTAGCAACGAAAGGAGTCAAAACTCATCCGATTAAGCTAAAATTTGGATAATAGTTTCATCTATCTCTTAATTACATTTTGTTAAACTTTTAGTCATTCCGAATTGATTTGCTTGATAAATGTATTTGATCTTTCTAATAGATCTACATGAAATTTTGTTTTGTTGATTTCGGGACTTGCTTGTTAATTTCAATCTAAAAGGTAGGAACTTCCTTTTTATCTATCAATTCCTCAAGAAGATTTGAATTTCTTAAGTCCTTTTAAGGGTTCTAAATTCAACAACCATAAATAAAAGAGTTAGGAGCTTGAGTTTGTTCCAATCCTTCACAAAAATAATGTCATGAACTTTTGAAAGACCATGGCCATGAACTCCAAGAAAAATGTGGCCATGGACTTTTGGAGGAGTTGAATCCTTGATCTTATAGGACAATGTAATTAAGAGAAAGATTTTAATGGCTCCAATTAGGGATGACAATAGACCAAGTATAAAATGGGTATCCATTTTACCCGATCCAATAAATACCCATTAAGAATGTCTAATGGTTCTAATGGGTATTGAAATTGATAGGAATAAAAAGAAAGAAATAAAGAAAACGAACATGCCCTCTAATATGGTTTCAAGGTATGGATACTCATTTTTTATTCTATTAATAACCACTAATTTATTTAGATTTTTTATTAACATGCAAGAATCTAATTGCATAAAATTTAAAAATTAAGGATCAAAATATTTTTTTGAAATCTTTGAGGACAAAAAAAACTTATAAAGAAATGACAAAAACAGAAAAAAAAATATAAATTTTAAGGATCAAAAAAACTTTTCTTAAAAATTATAAAGATTAAAATGAATATTTTTTACAAATTAAATTTAACGAGTATTTAATAAGTATTAAATGAATGAATAAATTAGCATGGGTAGGATATGTATATATATATTTTACTGGATAATAAGTATGATAAAAAAATTAAATTAATAAATCAAGTACTTGCTTATTGCCATCTCTAACTTCAAGTGGTTGCAATTGACAATAATAAAGTGGAATAAAGTAGTAGTAATGGTAGCAATGGGTCAATAGTATTAAGAAAAATATATTCTCTTCTTTTACAAGTTTAAAATATTTTTCTTCAAATTAACAATATTCATAGGTTTATTGAAAAATATTTTTGTTAACTTATTTTTCAATTTTTTTGTTTCACAGTAACAAATTAAAAAACAATTTTCTAAAAAATATTATTTTCAAAACAAACAAACAGATCCCTACTAGTTGAACAA